GTCTTCAGGAATATGGTATTTCTTGTGGAAGAGGGCTAGTTTAGCTGGTGTGTTCACTAGACTCCTAAACTTACCTATTTGATAGAATCAAGGGTTCGAAACAAGTGAAGAACCAACCGAACAACACAGGGGCATGTCCATCAACAAAATTACCACAAGTAACCGAGGTGCAAAAGGAGGGAAGGAACTAAGGCCTCGTTTGGGAACCTTCTATTTTAGTCAAAAAATCAAAAAGTTAAATTAGCCAAAAAGCCAACCACCCATACAAAAAAGCCAAAAATTCTCTTTTCTCTCTACTTTTTGCACATCTTTTCGTAAAAAGCCAAAAATTATCCCAAACATACTAATTTTTTTTAGCTCATATTTTAGTCAAATAGCCAAAAAATTATTAAATTAGCCTGTTCCCAAACGGGGCCTAAGTTATTAAATAAAACAAGCTTGGTGACTTACAATACAAAGTTAGAGCCACCAGCAACGAACCAATGACAGCCACCAAACAACGCAAAACCCACAGTAGCAAGACCGGCCTGTTGACAAAGAGTTATTGAAGTAGCATCAGAATCACATTTGTCCAAGTCAAGGAGCGAATATCAAAATCAAATTGAAAATGGAGGAGCAAACCCACTACACAGACACATAAAACATGTATATATATATAGTTCGGACAGCCAAAAGGGGTTCACCATCACACAAATCAAAAATGAAAATGTGGGTTCATGGAATTGAAGACACCAAACTCAACTTTATCGGAGCAAAATCAAAAGCAACAAATTGCCACCAGCAACTTGAAGCAATGAGGTGTGATGTTGGCGATCAAATCGTCGATCTCGCACAGTGCTGAAGATGAAGCAACGTCGACGAGACCAGCTTGTTGAAAGTCGCGGACCAACTGTGAACAACGACGGAATAAATGAACAACGCCGGAAATAAATGGTACGAACTCACAGGCAGCAAAGCAGTAGCTTTTCGCAACAGCCCAGCGACTATGCAAATACTAGAACTGGTGGCACAAGTTGACGCCAACAAAGGCAAATCCACGGTGAAGCAAGAACAGATGTTGGAAAAAAATGAATCGAAGACGTCTTAGGGCTATTTTGGGAAGTTGGCTAAAAGTCACTTTTTTTTGTTTGTAGCAAAAGTCAAAAGTTGGCTTTTTTGTCTTTTTTTTTTTTCATTTGGGAAGTTGGTTTAACGATGAAATTACAATTTTACCCTCATAGGTCAAAATGTGTTACATAGATGAAGTCGTAAATATTTTAAATAAATGGGGGTAATTTGGTCATTTTATTATGATTTGACATCATAAACAAACATTAATCAAAAAAGTCAAAAGTTACTTTTTACTAATTTCTTAAATTATTTATCTAAAAAAGCTAAAAATTTAATTAAAAATTAAAAAATCACTTTTTATCATCTTCTCAAAATAAGCCTTAGAAGCAAAGAAAAAGAAAAAACGGTAGCTAGGCTCATGAAATTTGAATTCTTAAAAAGTGTGTGCAAAAACGTCTAGTTTGGAGGCCAACCCAAGATGGCCACGTGTTTATTTGGTAGAAAATAGTACAGGGAGGGACAGAGCCGAGCTATACTGTGAGTCTATGAAAGGCCAAACTCCTGCACCAATTTTCGAATTATTTTATTCGGACCGACCGATCAGCAAACAGCCACCCAGATATTTGTTTCAGATGAAGGCCATGTGCAATGGGCCGAAGAAATGACCGAGAGGATCTAAATAAATATTGGGACTCACAAAGGTGGTTATACATACAGCGTGCTCAATGTACAAGTGATAAAAATGGCGGGCCCAGCACTCAAGCTTATTGTCTATGTTTATGTAAATTGCACATCATGTGTTTGCACAGCAAAATCAGAAGGCAGGCATACAATTGGGTCGTTTGAAAAGTGACTATTTTAAAGATTTTTAAATTTTTTAATTATTTTAGTAGGTTGTTTTAATTTTTATGTTTGAGAAGATGAGATAGATTTTTATTTGAGTTGGTGTATTGAAAAATGTGTTGAAATGATATTTGTAATTAAAATGACAATTTTTTTCCTATTTTTACATTTTTCAAAATAAATCAATAGAGACAAAAATGTAATTCTGCTACCTGTCACTGTGACAGCCTACCACTGTCACAGTGACAGCCACAGCCAACCACATTTTTCTTTTTTTATTTTTTTTATTTTTGAAAACCTTTTAATTAGAAGTTTTAGACTATTTTTATTTTTAAGGCTACATTAGCCTAAACCATCTCTTCCCAAACACCCCCCAATACAACTAATGAAGGATGACCGAGCTACTCAGGAGACCGAAGTAATGACCAATTTTTCCAACAAAAAAAAAATATCTATATAATAAGGGAGGACTGTTTTTGAAAATGTCCCAAATGTATTTACATTTGGTTTTAACGGCCAAGATGAATCTTAAGTTCATCTCAATGGCTCAGATCAATAGATCTCCCGCCCAAACAACTCTTTGCTCTCTCTCTCCCACGTCTAGCTAAAACACATCTGCTCTCAGATCCGATCCTCCTGCTCCTTATCCCAAAAGCCTCTAATGCCTTACCTCTCCCTCTATCGAAGAGGCAACGATTGGTTTTCCAGGTACGGCTTAATTGTTTTGTTTTTGGTTCTTTTGTTGATGAATTTTCCACGTATGCCGTTCGCGGATTGAATAACCATCGTCTTGGCGAAGGAAATCGAACCAAAATCCATTAGATTCGGAGATGGAGATGGAGATGGAGATCCATTAAATCGAACTCAAGTCAGATCAGAGAGTTTCAGGGCCATTGCGGTCGCGACCATATTGAATCCTCTCTTGAGATGGAGATGGATTGACTCCTCCAGATTTGATCAGAAGTGTTTGATCAGGAAACATGCACTTGGACACAGAACCGCACTTCCGTAATTCAGAACATCAACTATTTCAAAACCACTGCCATATATTCATATTCTTACTGGCTTGACATGTGATGTATGAAGATGTCTAAAAACTGAAAAGCCCCAGGTTAGTAATTTGTTTACTTTTTTTAATAAATTTTTTTTTTTTGAAATGGTGTTGTTATTGATTAATTAGTTTAGTATTTGATCGCCTTAATTTCGTATATTTTATATCATTTCCATTCCGTCTTGACTTCATCTTTGATAGCTACAACTTAAGGAAAAAATAATTTGGGGGAAATTGAAAATGGAATTTAGGTAAATTTGTTGGGTATACCTCCTTATTGGAGTGTGGGACCCAATTGGTTTGTTAAAGAGTTTCAATTTGACTTGATTTAGGTATAATATATTTTTATATATTATATTTGTGGAGATGCAATAAAATTTTCTATTTTCCTCATAATTATTTGAATTTTTTCTTATTGTTAACAATTTTCCCAAACACAAAAATCAAAAGTACAACAGCAGATATGATCAATATATAAATTCTTTTTGATTTATCACAGACTGACTTTTTTTTAATAAATAATTGAAAATTGAACCGAGATGTACCTAATTATCAATAAGTTCACATTCATATTTTTTATCACAGCCCATTCGATTGTATTCAAATAACTAAAATGATAGCTATAACTTCAAGAAAAAATATGTAGTTAAATACAAAGAAATATTGGGCTTCAATTGGTATTGATTATTGCCCTGTTTGACTTGGTCAATTCTTGACCAAGAATTGGTGCCATCAAATTCAAGAATTTATGCTTTGCTTTGCAACTCTGTTCGGTTCTGCTTTGAAGGTCTACATTGGAGGTTTTGATTTGGGTTCGTTATTTTGGGTCTTCTACAACTTTGGTTTAGAAGATTTTGGTTCATCTATTTGGTGAGGTCTTTCCTCTTTGTTTATTTGTGATTATTTGGAATTCACCTAAGGATGTTTTGTGAGACCATTAGTGTCTCGTTTGTAATCGTTTGGAATTATTTGGTTGATAGTGGAATCGGATTTCGATCCCATGGACGTACCTCACATTAAGGGAACCACGTAAAAATTCTTGTGTTGCCTTTGATTTAATTTTTTCGCATTAATTTTTATTCCCATTGATTGATTTACTTGTGGGGAATCACGGATTTCCCCTAACAAAATTCTCATTGAAAGCAAGTTTATAAATAAAGTTTTTATCATTTTTCAGTGCACAAGGATAATTATTGTTCAATTTCCAAAAGTTAAAATAATTAGCATTTTTGGCAATAAAATTTTCTATTTTCCTCATAATTATTGGAATTTTTTCTTATTGTTAACAATTTGCCCAAACACAAAAATCAAAAGTACAACAGTAGATATGATCAATATATAAATTCTTTTTGATTTATCACAGAATGACTTTTTTTAATAAATAATTGAAAATTGAACCGAGATGTACCTCTTGTGCTTTGATTCTTTGGTAGATCTTTGATTCTGTAGCAAATGTGTTCATTCAAACCTAACAGATTCATAGCAAATGTGTTCATTCAAAGTTTGATTTCTGCATCTCGATTTCTGGTTTGTATCTCTCTAATCCTAACATTATTTTCTAATCCGAACATTATTCAAAGTTTGTATTCAAAGTTTGATTTATTTTTTTTTTTATTTAGTATTCAAACAATCTGATCTATTTTTATAAATGGAAAAGTATTTGTAAATGGAAAATATTTTGTTTTCCAAACTTAGAATCTGTTAGGTTCTTATTACAAATCTATACTAATATTCAATAGAACTAATACATAGTAACCACACATCAATTGTACCTTATTGCCAACAAGAGGTGAATCATCAGCAAACCATGTATCCTGCTTCTCTGTTTGGCAGTGAGCAAAACATGAATTTATGAATAACCCATTTTCCTCAGACGTTGAGAATCCTTCTAAGGTATGATTTCTGAAGTCTGCTCCAAAGAATATACAAAATCTTTAATCAATTGATGAAGTTTCTATACTACATTTTTAAGAAAGCTAATCAAATTTATTAATAGTCATGCCAGTTGAGTAATTTCTGTTATATGAAACCACCTTGCAGAAATTTCTGGATCTGTGATTCTAAACAACTTGCGTGATTCATTTTGCAGTCACGCCAAATGCCATTAGGATCAGCTGATGCAGGAGCTAAATTGGCCTGGACCTGAATTGCGAAATGAAGAGACCTAATGTATCAAGTTTTTCATTTAACATGCTTAAAAGCAGTCACAAAGCAAGCCATTGTCAGTTGTCTTGCTGCATGAGTGTAACTCCAGGTGAACTAAATTTAGCAAACTCTACAGAAACAAGATATTACCTGCCATGAATCATAGGCTGCATTGAGAATAAATAGAGGGGTTTTGACATTAGCAATTAAGTTCTCGGGGAAGAAGCACTGTAATGAAAGAATGATATGAAAGTCAAAGTGAGTTTGAGAATGATGGGATTGAACAGAATTTGGTATTTTCGTATGCAATTAAATCTCTTGCATTTGCCAAGAAAATTGAAGGAACAGACTCACCGAAGTCGGATCAAGATTCTCGGTACAACTACTTGGAAGATTCTTTTAACAATTAGAAAGGCATGAATCTCTCGCTATTATAAATCCAGTAAGTTTGAGTTAAAATTAGACTGTCTTTTTGGGTATGTATTACTGCAGACTTTTGTGATACATAACAGATTATTTTGTTTGTTTGTTTGTTTTTATTTTTTGTTTTTTTATTTAAGTTATGCAAATACACAATGAAATGAATTCATTTCGTAGTGTATCTTTTTACATCCATTTTTAGCTACCTTTGAATTAGAAGTAGCATATGAACTGAAATAATTGTTGGTTACTGATCAGTCAATGGATTAGATAGTGTTTTTCAACCAGTATAATTTTCATTGTGCTTTCCTTTTTGCATTATATTTATACACTAGCGTATGCCCGTGCCTGAAGGCACGGTACACATATTTTACAAAAATTAATTAACATAAATTATTAATATTGGTATCACATCCTTAACAAAAAAATCAATTCAAAATGATAATAACTTCACTGTTATAGAAATCAATTATAATAAATCAGTTCAAGATAATGTACAATGGCGATTCCTTTAAGTTAAAATATAATTTATCAAATTCATTACTGAAAGTTTAAGTTAAAATATTAATTTGTATTTGAAATTTTTATTAAACATTTTAAAATACTCATTCTCTCTCTCTCTCTCTCTCTCTCTCTCTCTCTCTCTCTAATCTCTCTCTCATTTCCTCCTCTCTCATCTCTTAACAAACACTACATTTTACTCTCAGAGCTCAAATAACAAACCATTTATGTGGAATCTATTCTTTAAAATTTAACGATTCCACATCTAATAACGAGGCACTAACACATAGCTTTATCATTTGCGTAAGTCTAGATATGGAAACCTTCCTCTTCACCTCGGAATCTGTCAATGAAGGCCACCCTGACAAGCTCTGTGACCAAGTCTCAGATGCAATTCTGGATGCTTGCCGAGAACAAGATCCGGAAAGCAAAGTTGCTTGTGAGACGTGCGCAACAACCAACATGGTCATGGTCTTCGGTGAGATCACAACCAACCCAAGCACTGGAAGCGCAACACTGCCATCGCCATGGCTGGTATCTTCCTCATCTACATCCTCATCGTCATGAAATCTACCCAACTCGAGGTCCTTTCTCTCTGTCTCAGAACCCACATTTGATTTTGATTGTTTTACTTTGCAAGATCTGAGTTTTTACTTCGACGATACAACGTTTAATTGCAATTAGGTTTTGGGTTTTGTTAAAAAAGCTAATCTCGATTTTTCCTCATCTGGGTTTTGCAATTTTTATTGTTGTTGTTATCAAAATTGATGATGAGTAAAATTTTATAGGATTAATTATCTGTTTGTGTTCGATGTCATTGTTTCAGTGTACATTGATGCAAGTTTTGGTGTATAGAAATGGGTCTAATATAGAGGTCTGTTTGGGAGTAATAAAAGTCCCATGATATTGATATGAAATTACTATACACTTTCGGTTTTATTGTTATTTATAAAGATGGGTCGAATTGAAGATGGGTTGAATTTTAAAACAATTTAAAAATGGTTGCTATACACTTTCGGTCTAATTGAAGATGGGTCGAATTTTAAAACACTTTACAGCAGTTTAAAAATAGTTTACAGCAGTTTCTAGATTTGAAATTTACAGTTAAATTTGAGGGGCATTCTTACAAAATGAGTGGAAACAGAGGCATCAGTCGTATTCTCAATTGGGTTGTCCTCCGATCCGAGTCGAGTAGCAGAGCAGTAGAAGAAGAAGTAGTTGATTCAGAATCAATCAATCCATCAATCATCATCAATGGCGTTTATGAGGGGAGAATCGCTGGTGGCGAAACTGGCAGTCCTGGCAAAGTATGCAGTGCTTCCTGGAGCCATGGTGGCTGCTCTGATCTACTCTCCTCCCGACTACTCTTCTTCCAAGAAACACTCCTCCTCCTCCTCCTCCAAGTAGATTATGGATCTACATCTCTCCTTCAATTCCAACGGTTCGCTTCCTCTCTTTTCCACTCTCAATTCATCCATCAATTTTCTCTCTTATCTTAGGTTTTCTAATAATCTCTCTGTTGTTTGATTTGAGAATACAGCATATGTCTAAGAATTTTGTTTCTATATGCAGACCCTAAGATTATTATGCTTCTCTAAGATTATTTTAGTTGGAGATTGTTGTTTTCATGTTGCCAAGTTTATGAGATTTTCATAAGATAGGAGACATAAACATAATTATCACTTAGGTAATCTAATCTCCAGACCTTGCTCAATTTTTTACCCAAATTTCAGGGAAAGCTTTTATTTGATTAATGTTAGAGTTGTAAATTTGAAAACTACAAATCATGTTGAAAATTTGATTTGGGTAAAAAATGTTTAGAACTCAATTTAGTGTAAGTTTGATTCAAGGAGTGGAGATGTGTTTTCAGTGATTTTTTACTCAAATTTAAAATTAATATAGGTTTATGTCAGTGTTATATGGGTTTAATGGAATTTCAGTTATTGTGCCAATATCTTAAGAAGGATGTCCTATGGCGTGGTCCCATTTCATGACACTCTTACAGTTTCTGTCGTATTTTTAAAACAATTTAAAAATGGTTACTATACACTTTTGGTCTAATTGAAGATGGGTCGAATTTTAAAACAATTTACAATAGTTTAAAAATGGTCTAGGGCAGTTTCTAGATGTGAAATTTACAGTTAAATTTGAGGGGCATTCTTAGAAAATGATAAAAGTGTGATGATGCCTCTTCTTCTGCAATGTGTGCTTTTAATAAAAGAATAGATGTGTATGATGTTATAAATGAAAATATAGCACATAACATCTCAGTGTTAGCCAACATATATTTATGCCCAGTAAATTGATTTCCCAAAGAGTTAAAACACAACTTGAACTTTGTCGAAAACAGACTTGCCTGGATTCTCATGCAGGTAAATCTCCAACAATGAGAGAACACGAAGTTTGAAGAGCACGAGCTGGGATTGAGCAGTTTCGCCCCCAGCTTGGTTCTTACGCACTTTCAAAAATTTTGCAATCCATGCGGAACATTGCATCATCATCCATTTCCCCATCAGAGTCATCAGAAGCTTCGGGATGTTCTTTGTCAACTGCCTCAAGTCCACCTACTACTTCAGAATCATCTGTCTGCAAGTGTTATTGTTATTTATATAGATTTTTATTTTTTTAAATTTTTTTATGTAGTTTATGGATTTGGATTTAATTTTTTAAAAAGTTTTAGGTCTGACATAATCGTTGATCTTTATAAAATGGGTTTTGATTTTAGAAATATATTTTTATTTTCAGTTTGTTTTATGAAATAGATTTAATTTTTTAATGGAAAATGAGTGTTGATTTTTTATGATTTTGAAAAAATCTTTTGAAATTGGTGTTGATTTTTTTTTATTTAACAAAATCAAATCACAAATTTAAGATAAAATAGAGTGAAAAAAAAATACAGAGAGGAAAATCGAACAAAGGAAATAAATGGTTTGTTATTTGAGCTCTGAGAGTAAAATGTAGTGTTTGTTAAGAGATGAGAGAGGAGGAAATGAGAGAGAGATTAGAGAGAGAGAGAGAGAGAGAGAGAGAGAATGAGTATTTTAAAATGTTTAATAAAAATTTCAAATACAAATTAATATTTTAACTTAAACTTTCAGTAATGAATTTGATAAATTATATTTTAACTTAAAGGAATCGCCATTGTACAATATCTTGAACTGATTTATTATAATTGATTTCTATAACAGTGAAGTTATTATCATTTTAAATTGATTTTTTTGTTAAGGATGTGATACCAATATTAATAATTTATGTTAATTAATTTTTGTAAAATATGTGTACCGTGCCTTCAAGCACGGGCATACGCTAGTATATATATATTTCAAAAGTCAAAACCCAGCACAGAGGCTAATTGTTTATATAAATTAAAGGCCATGGATACATGACCGAGCAAATGAATAAATTACAAACTTAGTGGATTTGGGGGCCCACCTGCAAAATCACATATTTTGATTAGGTCAAGTTTGACTATCCTAAATAAGTACACATTTTTTTATTTTTTTATCTTTTTTCCATCACATTATCTCTCTACTTTTCTGTACATCTTTTCATAAAAAGACAAAAAATGTACTTATTTAAGTCATCTCAAACAACCCCTTAGTAAACCTTCCAATTACAAGTCAAAATGGGCCGTGATATGTTGTTAAACCAAAAAAAAAAACAAAACAACAAAAAAAAAAAACAAAAGTTAGAATTAAATTTGCAGGCCGACGTAAAGTTTGAGCAAATTTGGCTGAGATATAAATAATAGCTTTCACTCAATAATTTTTAGTGCTAGCCAGGGGGCAAATGAAGAAGGCACAATTACTCAAGCCTATTTGTATGGAATCTCGTTGGGCTGGACGAAGGTTCCCACTCTGAAGTGGGCCCTTTCTCTCACTCTGTGATGGACCGAGCTAAGGGAACAGTCTTGGCCCAATCCCCGCTCCAAAGAGGGGAAACCATGGGCCTGGCCCTAGCACCCCTCCCTACTCCGAAGTGGGTTAGTTCATATAAACTTGGGCTTCAAGCCTTCTACTCCAATACGCATGAGAGCTAACAGGTCAACTAACACCATGTAAGTAAAGGGCGCGTGGTGCCCGTGAACGATGGAACCGCTCAACAAAATCTTTGCTCTCCTCTATTAAGGGGTGTATTAGCATCACGGCTGAATACCAGACGGCAAACGAGAGATCTTGATGAGCAAGTCATATGATCCTTATAAAATGTAACCTTACTCTCCTTGAGAAAGGGCAATCTCTTGACTGTAGAAACACACCGGTCTTCTCTATCTTCTCTCTCTACCAAACTCCGGTACTGACTCGATCGTTGGAAGGGTTTCCGACCAACCCTCGGTCGGGCAGCCTAACCATTTGTTCTTTGTGCATGCCTTCATCCATCGGTGCACCAGGGTTTGTCCACGAAGTTCCTTCTTAATCTATTACGGAAACTGGTCCGCACATCAGTGTTGAATCCGATTAGAGATTTGTGTCCAGACTAGTCAAT